GGTGCACTAAAAGACTGAAATGTTTACAGAAACAAAATGTAGACGATACATCGTCTACATTCCCTTCAGCCATGCTTGACGTCACAGGTTGAGGAATCTATTCCTGTAATTCCTCCACAATAAGTTCTTGTACTTTTCCAGTTGCGACCCAAACATACAGTATATCGCCTATACGTCACAGCCCTTTCTGGCCCAAACATTTTGGGATGATATCCGTGTTTAGCACGCGGAATCTCTATGGCGAAATCTTCCACAGCTTCTGTGAAACTCACTAGATCTGAGCCGAAATCACAGGCCGTAAGTCATCCCAAATGCTATTTGGTTAACCTTCGTACGGGAGACTAAGGGCATCCAGATTGCGGTCATAAATTCTGTTTCTAATCTTTCAGTCCAATCTCGGGAGGCCTTCTACGCACGAGGGCTCACCTCTCTGACTCAATAACACGGTCGCTGATATACCCACAGTCCATCACGCGGATCGCTGTCAAAAATACAGGTACTAATCCTCAGCCTCACACCTAGCGCCGTATCCGCGGTGACAACCTTTCTGATGATTCCCAAACCGCTCCCCCCTTTCAAATAACCGACCCAATATTAACACAACAACCACATTTGATTTGGCGACCGCGATCTTTCTTCAACTGTTCTGCATAATGGCGCGGCATTGGGATGTTGTTGGAGCCAAACCCGTGGGACCCGGCATCAACTGCGGTGTTTGAAGAAACGCGCGGTGGACAAGCTCGCGGACACATGTCTGATGATGCCTACTCCCCGCTGAATTAGCATGTCTGTCAATCGCGCAACGTACAAAAGTCCCTTGTGTTTTGTCGTGCCGGTATGATTTGTCGTACTTGTTTCTCCAACATCCCAATAATGGAGAGATTTAAACCACGAGGGGCCTGCCACCCTGGCAATAAATTGTAATCAGCGTGAAAATACCAAAGACGGTTCAAGTTGAAAAATGAAAACAAGAAGCGGGTTCGAACGTTAACCTCAAGCATCCAGAGCATTTATTAAACTTAACCTTCTCAAATCGTCCAAAATGCTCTTTGCAATATGACAAAAATGTGTGACAAAAATGTGTGACTGATTTTGGAGGATGCACTGTGTCAAGGTCTTAGGTTGAACCTTGTGTTGTTTATGCTCAGCCTTGCATAAATTTAGGCCCCTGCACTGCTCCGGGATGTCACTGGCTCTGCATCAACATATTGACAGTGATTGCTGGAGGATTTTGCAGGATTGAGGCAGTGGTCACCCCTCCAAGGACCACATTCAAGAAATAACTGAGGATTTTGCAGGATTGAGGCTGCATGCCATTTTTACATGGAGGCAGTTGGAGGATTTTGCAGGATTGAGTTGCATATCCTCACAGAAATGTAGTTGGGGTTAATGTGAAAATTATGTATGTGTTTTTAGTTAAAACATATATACTGAAAATGAATAAGACCAATATTTTACAAATACATATGTATTTAGAAAAATGAATTAACACAATCATGACTAATAGCAATTCAGGTTTTGCTGGGCCAATTTAGGTAAACATTTCCACTGAAAAACAAGAAATATAAAGAAATATAAAACAGCGCTCCAAACACAAACGAATTCAAACTTCATTTCCAAAGCAAAATTACAAGTTCTCCAAAACAACACAAATGTGTCTAGCATTCTGTTTTCAATTCAATTTCAGTATTCAGAAACATGACAGGAAAATCCATCAGCAAGTCTTTAAATATTTACACAATTCCAGCTCTTATCCTTCCACAGAAAAAGAATCTGCATTTTTATTCTATTCGATTGACACTCTCTCGGGGAAATATATTTATTTATTCCGAGGAGGGAATTGTCACCTAGACAACTTCATTAATTCAATTTGCACTTCCAGGAACAGCCAGATTTAAGTTAGTCTAGCGCTGTTTAAACTTTCCGTTGCCGACACAGGCCAACATCTGGGCTGGTTCATTGCCCCCATTGAAAAGAGAATTAACGCACTTATTTTCTCTTTTGAAAAGGTCACTGTTTCAAAAATCGGCAAATGGTTTTCGCCAAACCTAATTCCCTTTCAATCAGGGTCTCCAATCAAGTCAGCAGAAACGACCTTTGAATGTGATTGTACATCGGTTGTACACTTGTAGTAAGACTCTGGCTAGCTCGGTGCTCAAGTGGGAAGATGTTTGCATCAAAAATCAGAAGGTTGTGGGTTCGAGTCCCACTGAAGTAGCTCCTTATATTTCCCATGAACAGCACTCAGAGTATCCAGAGCTTAAAAAATTAATTTAATTGAAGGGCAAAATGAATAAAAATCAGCAGAAATATGTTTTTCTCTTCCTATTTTTTCGCCCTGTCTTCATTTAGCTACGGAACATGTGCACACTAGATTACATCACTGAAGGACATTGACAGAAGACCTTTCTTGTCAAAGCTGCAATTCTCAGTGACAAAACCTCGCTTGTTTTAATCCCCTCGCATGGTACACACCTATCCCCAGGAAACCTTTTAATTCAACCGGTCTTATCTCAAATTGCGCTGGAAAAAAAATTCACATCCATGCATTGGCCTTGGGGTTGTTGCGCATGGGGGGGGGGGGGTGGCATAAAGACGTCGACTCAATAATCCACTTATTATCTGAGATCGTGGATACGAAAGACGGAATACGAATGACTTCGCACTCCCCGCTTGTTTTCCGTCGGGGAGCGACCTTCGGCTATTTCACAAAGTCAACAATTCACTGGCTTTTTTCTCTTTCTCCATCCTGTCAACTGTCTGAATTGATGAGTAGAGAGTGACGTGAAAACCACTCATACTTGCGTCATGACTGCGCCGGCACACAACACAAATGCAACAGTTACAAGGTGCGCATTTTGGATGGAACGATAAGAGGATGTTTTTTCCCCAGCTTTAGCTTCCATCTTTTCCGGTCACTTTTTAGTGCCTGTGTGGAGATGTGTTGCTTACACTAACAGAAAAAAACGTTACAGTTCCGTTGTGCAGTCTTCAGTATATTGTTTTTGATGTATGCAGGAAACGTCGTGTATGAACTTGAAACAAATTCCTTTATAAAATGCTAGCTTTCTTGTAAGTTGAGCATCAGGACACACAGTTTCTTCATGAATAAAATCCTCATAAACCCCCCCTACTTGGATAATAGGACAGCCCTGAGGCCGGATGACGAATTGCAATAGCCCATTCAAACCCACTTAATCTCCTTGGGTGGATCTAATTATCCCCATGGGGGTAGTGTTGAGGGGGCAATTTCCCTCAGGTATCGGTAAAATGATTGAAAACTTCAAGTAAAAACTGTATGAAACCTGGAGTCATTGAACCCACTGCTCTGGTGTTTATTAACAATCTGTGATATCCCTTGAAATCTTTCTCAATATTTACTGCATCTTCTAAGTGCCACACTGTGATTGCACGTCTAAACCCCGCAATCCTTGATCAGACATGAAGACAATCGGTCTTGCCTATCATATAGCTCCAGTGCATACATAATGGTTTAGTCCCGCACGTATGCTTCCGCTCCTCCAGCGTTTCTCGCCGATTAGTAATTCAGACCCGTCTCTGGTCAGGTTAATGCCTCGTTCTTCGCGGTGTTTGTATTAAGGAGTTGCGCGGGATAGCCGGCTGTTTTCTCGCATCGAAGATGCTATCAAAGTCGAATTAATAATTCGGCGACCGGGCAATTAAGCTTTAAGCACCGTATACTGTCATCGATTTAAGAAAAAAAAACCAGGACGCGTTTTGGGTTGTTGTTGTACTCGGTGCCGAGACTGATGAGTTGTAAATTGGGCCACTTAGACATTCTTGGCGTCAGCACTTCGGCTGTTAGGGGAAAACATTTGAGATACGCTCCTAGTCAAGCTGTTTAACTTGGACGTCTCATTGAAATAAGGGGAGATGGACAACAGAAAGCGATACTTTTGCAATTCTTACGGCATCGGGGACGATGTCCGGTTATCAATAGAGTAAAAATTCAGCAGCAGGGCAAAGCAGACAAGAGCCGCATCGCAAAGTGTCAAAAGTGAGACTCCGCAGAGCGCACTCTTTCAAGAAGACAGATGGCCCTCATTTCAGATATAATTGCATTAACGCCTTCACTGTTAGTTAAAGGTGTTAGTCAATAGAATTCTTGCACTGATCAAGACCACCATGCACCTGTGGTGCTTAAATTTTCACAGTTTTACAAATCTCTCAAGACTTGGGAATCCCTGAAATCACTGTCACATATGTTTCTTGATTGCTGTGGAGTGGGTGTTGGGTGTTAAAAAAAAAGATAAACAATTAGCGGTGCAGCAGAGAGGCACACCTTTCAAAAAAATGGAGTGAAACCGGAGTTCAAGAAATCAATCAATATGCAAACCATTCATAAGATGGAATTTGCGTTGGGGTGCTGTAAATCAATATTAGGTTCTGCCCCTCACCGACGTATAAACACTGTATACTCATTGTGTTACCTCCCGAGTGAAAGTTGGAAAAAATCACTCGGGTGGGACTTGAACCCACGACCTCCTGCTTTCTAGTGCAGACGTCTTACCACTCGACCACAGCACTTGTGGGATCGGTTGGCTTAATTGTTCGAATCTGATGTACGTTGTACATGTAGAAGCGGGTACCGCAATTAAACTATTCACAAGATGAAGGGCAAACAACCTAATATTGATTTACATCACACCGATGCAAATTCCAGCTCGGTGGTCGAGTGGCAAGACGTCTGCACTAGAAAGCAGGAGGTCGTGGGTTTGAGTCCCACCCGAGTGATTTTTTCCCCAACTTTCACTCGGGAGGTTACGCACTGAGTATAGAGTGTTTATACGTCGGTGAAGGGCAAAACCTAATATAAATATGCAAAGTGCATAAATTCTTTTTTTGGAAGACCAAACAGAGATCAGTGTGTAGAAAGTGATTTTTTTTTCATTCGTAAACAGTTATCTACCATTTCAATTTCACAGATTTTTTTTCTTTCTCCAGAACAGCACATACATTTACAGACTTTAAATCATTACCTGACTACTTGTCCGCGCTGAATCTGGACTGGCTTCAACTGCACGTCCACGGGAACGTTCTGCGTGCCGTTGACTCCGAAACACGACCCCTCAGAATTGCAATTTTCCTGGGGAGGAAAAAGATAATGAAATAAAAAATACCAATTGGATGAGTGGCTTAATTGAGTGTCACGTTTAAGTGGCACTCGTGAGATTCGTGTAAAGTCCAGAAGCAAGATACTAGTGTCGAAAACGGCACTTATTATGAAACTATGATCAACTGAAGTTCTTGGGGTTTTTATTTGTCTAACGATCTAGGAGCCACTCTCTAGTAAAATTGAGCCTTTTTAGAAATTTAAGCTGGGTCCTAATTCATTCGCATTTGTTGCTAAGCAATATCTTTTCTGCTTATAGCAAAGCCATAAAACTGGACCCTTCATTAGAAGGGCGAAGCCAGAGAGCTTAATGCTGGGAGGAAGGGGTTGGCGGGCCGAGGGAGTGCAGGGGGGGGGGGAGGGGAGGGCTCTCTCAAGTGAAAAATGGCCTTGTTTGAGAAAATTTAGGTCACTTCCTGGGCGGGGCGGGCGGGGGGGGGGGGGGGGGGGGGGAGGACGCCCCCTCCGCACCCCCTGGATCAGCCACTGCGTTATGGTGATTGTTTAGGGACCCCCTAAGCTAAATTTAATCAAACTTTACTCTGATTTAATCAACTCTAACTCTGCTAACTCAGGTGAAATTTAAAACTTGTTTTTGCTTAATTTTGATGGACATGGTATGCATTGGGCCGCTCCAGTGATTTTGATCACTGTAGAGTTTTCTGTGGCCAAATTAGACCGGTACTCCAGTGTTCATTGGCACTAAAGATACTAGTCCCTCTTTCCGTTCCGTTTGCCCCGCCCCCAACTTTGCCACTCAGGATCCCTATTTAAAGATGATCACTAAAACAGTACACATAAACCCGGGTCGATGTTCTTCAAACTGCCGAAAGCCTGGCCGGGTATTCACAACTTGCAAATGCCGCGCAGTTGGTTTTGGGCAAAGTGGAATTATTACATAAAGAGAATGGGAATCAATAAATTCTATGGATCCCGCTTCTGCCACCGTTGGCTCCTGCTATGCTGGAGACCAAAGCTTTGCTAGTGCTATTGGGCAGACGAAAGCTCCGCGCTGAAACTGTTAAGATATTTATACGCAAGAGGTCGCTGGATCATTCTAACCTTTATTGCCGTGGGACTTTTTCTTCATCTTAATTTTTTTTTTTTGGAAAACAGAGATGCTTACAAACATTGAATTGATCAAATGTTCCTGCGTGTACTGTCATGCACCATAAATTAGCTATAAAATCAGAAAGTGGGGCTTGAAATTCTGTAAACAATTTGTATACAGTGCAAGGATATTATTCTGCACATTTTTAATGTATACTTAATAATTACAAACTAAATGCCTCAAATTTCATGACGGTCGTATTTGTCATAAATATTTTAGGACTAAATGTGAAGGATTACTTTCCTGTGAATAAATAAAGAGGCTCTCAAAGAATAAAAACAATATTGTCTATTCATAAAGTATGCTCGTCTACCGATATTGACGCTCAAGGCACTACATCAGTACAAACCGGCCGTTATTAAATGCAATTCATAAAGTGGTCTTATCTTCGTGGCGGAGCTAGGTTTAATACTCTTCGCTCAAACCACATCAGCACATCCAAGGGAGGTGACGATGGCCATTTCCTGTCAGCTCTCTTCAAATACGTTTTGATTCACATGAGGACAACATCATACATTCTTTACATTGCACTTTCATCAAAGGGTAACTTTCAAGATAGGGTGTATCATTTGTCATTTGTTAATTTTTTTTTTCATTTGAAGCAACAAAACTGCTCAAAATCTAGAAACAGGTCGTTAACAACTAACCTAATGAAACTTTTAGCTCAGTGACTGCTAGTATACTCCGAGAAAACAATAGTCTGGGATCTCGATTTCAATTCAAAAGTTGCCGACTCATGTTTTGAATTGCGGTCAAAATCAGCATCCCGGACACGTTCTCATTCAGCCGATTGCAGCTACGCGATGTCACGCAATGAACCGACAAATAATAGCAACCGTGCGCGCGTGTGCATCGTGTCAATGCTTGCAGGCACCCATTCACTGATTCGCCGAATTACAAACCAACTACTAACAGAAATTTTTAAAAATGCGTCACATGGTGCATCTTTGGGTGTGGCCTTCGTTTATTGTTTTCTTCAAAATGACAGCATGCCAGAAAGAATTATTTCGCAGGGAGTTTATTGCCATTGCTATCTTTACACCAAGTAAGCTTTTCAACGATAATCTGGACAGCTGCTTTTTGGATAACAAATGATCTACTCTACCAAAGTGGCTGGGCTCTACCTTCCTCAATCCTCCAAAACTCGGTGGATTTTCAAGGATTCTGGAAGGATTAGGTTTAAAGATTAGAGTTCACTTTTACAAGCGTCGACGCCTGGACTTTTTTCCGCCTTATTTCAGGGGCCAAACTGATAATTTCACTCCGTGGACAAGTTACACAATGCTGAGTGGTGACTGAATGGCGACTGACCCTACGTCAATGCCTAAGGGGAAGGGATGGTACGGCCACACAATGGCCGCCCGCGATTCGGTCAGCATATCCGGTCTTGGTGCCAATCGGATTTAGCCTCGGGGAGATTAACTCCTGTTTAATCTGGTATAATCCATTTAATCCCCACACGGTGCCATATCAATAAAACTGCAAATATTGTGTTATTTTCTGGCTTGGGGCACATCTGATCGAAGACGGTGCGGCTTTATGTTGGACTGAATTAATTTAACCCTCTCTTGAGTCAGTGATGACAGGAACTGGTTTTGTCTGGTCAACTGTTCGGGACGACACATCCCAGTTTCAGAGGTTGATGCATTGGTTACCGATAGCTGCACGTGTAACACTGTACAGCAGGGAGCCAGGAAAAGATTATGTGATCATGGTTGTGTCCGCGTTACTTGGCTACAGTTTGCCATTAATTTCACATTCTCCTATGGAAGTGGCTATAGCCAGTGACCTTTGAGGAACCCTAGGTTTTCATTAAAAACAAAATTTAGACTGAATGGTTAAATATCTTCTTTTTTTGGCCAGCTCTGCAATATTTATCACCCATTTACCCATTCCTATTGGTCGAGAGCCCGTCACATGGGTGGTTTTAAATGGTTGATAAAACACCAACTGGTTATACACACTCTATTGCTGCACCAATGATGCCAACCAGCTGGGGCCAATTTCATAGAGCTGCTTAAGCACAAAATTTGCTTAAGCACAAAAACGTCTTGCTTAATAAAATCAGGTTACCGGCCAAAACTCCATGCGATTGTTATGCTAAGTAAACAACAGCTAAATACCAGTCACAAGTCACAAGCAATGTACACCACATGGAGTTTTGGCCGGTAACCTAATTTTACTAAGCAATGTTTTTTCGTGCTTAAGCAAATTTTCTGCTTAGGCAGCTCTATGAAATTGGGCCCTGGTACTAATCAACCTCAACAAGTTCAAACCACACATTTTAGCTTACTTAGTTCAAGGATGAAGGACCTCTACTGAAGAATAATTTATATTGCCCAACTGAAACAGACGGTGTTTAAATTATTAACTGTTATTGTTGATTATGAGACTAATAATGAGAGGCTCTCTCATGTGTGTGTAATTTTTCATATTAATCAGTTTTAAGAGGCTATTAAAGGGAATGTACATCATAGGCTTTTGCGGTAATTTTCAGAAATGAACCATTTGAGGGGTTAGTATAATAGATCAAATATTGTTACACTGACATGTTTGAAGTTGTGTGTTGGAAAATGCTGAAAAAACCAAGAAAAACAAAAATGTTCAAGTAGTCTGGTTCCTTGACTCCACTAAAGATAAAATGGATCAATTTATAGATGCCAGAAACTTGTAAGGTAAGGGAACCAGTCTAGATGGCCTGCACCCGTTCATGAACATGTAACCAATAGCAAACAAAATTTGGACTGAAAAAAGGGTAAAGTTGGAGCAGTAGTTGAAAAATAGTTAGGTTTTTCCAACGGTGGTCGGCCGACCACTGTTGGAAATGTATACAAAAACACCATTTTCTTGAAAATGACTTCACACCAGGTGCCATAATTTTACAGGATGCTTTAGACTGTCATTTATCAACATCCTGTTGTGTATTTTGTAAAAACTTGGTAGTTTTATTTTTCGATGTTTGCAAATGTTGTATATTCCCTTTAATAGTGACATAAAATGTTCAAAATTAACAGCTCCCTTGACATGATGGATCACCATTTTTGTTGTCGTCAAGCAACTGCTAATTGGGTCACTTCAACAAATTCACCACCACCATTTAATTTTTAAAAAGCTGTTTGCAATGGATTTCCACCGCTCTTGAAGGAAATGCTAGTGAGAGTGCTGTGCACCACTGCATTCTGTGTCACATCCCACAAAAAGGAGATTTTTTAACACTATGCGCGCGGGGCACATACATACATAGCAAAAGGGTGCGTGTTTCACAAAACAAGAGGAAGAATAACACACTGGGAGGTAACACACTGAGTATACAGTGTTAAAACGTCGGTGAAGGGCAAAACCTAATTTGATTTATATCACCCCGACGCAAAATTCCATCTTATAATAGTTTATGCGGTACCCGCTGCTATGTACATCAGATTCGAACCAGCCAACCGATCCCATTAGCTCGGTGGTCGAGTGGTAAGACATCTGCACTAGAAAGCAGGAGGTCGTGGGTTCGAGTCCCACCCGAGTGATTTTTTCCAACTTTCACTCGGGAGGTAACACACTGAGTATACAGTGTTTAAACGTCGGTGAAGGGCAAAACCTAATTTGATTTATATCACCCCGACGCAAAATTCCATCTTATAAAGAGGAAGAATTGTTGAATAAAATCGTTTGAAAATTGTAAATTTTTGACCGAAAGGTATTTATGAATGGGAATACATTTGTGCTTGGTTGGTATTAATCAGGTACCTTTGAAACCGGTTAGTGGCCTGGTCACGGATAATGGCCGGAGCTGAAAACAGCGCATCCCAGCCCTAGCTGGATTTCAACATACTTGTTTTAAAACTGCCCTTACTCATTATGTGTCCTAGCC